CGAAAAACGCTGATGACGTGAAAAACTTCGAAACAACCAAAAGCATGAGAATGAAGAATTCTTTTGAAAAAAACGGTGTTTAAACATGTGCCATGATGCTGGATTGTGAAGATGAATGTCAGGAGGATACATCCGACATTTGCAGCCCCGATGAAATTCTCAAAAAGTAATTATTGCACCGCAATAAGGATAAATAAATATAACTGAAAGTCCTCTCAACTGGTGCAGTTTCAATCGAAAAGAATTTACAATTTTGCCAAGTTGCAAGTTTGTCGCCTCGAGCGAGTAGTTATATAGTGGCGCAGGTTTGATTTACGACCGTTCAAAAAGTTTTTATTAAGTACAATGTTCCAATTTTTAAATTCAAGTATTAAAAAACATTCAGTCTTAACCGGTTCACTTTCCACTTTTGGTTTTCATGTACATATTTACTATGGGCGGAATACAAATTTTCGGGTGAATTTTTTTTTCGGGCAAAAATCAGGATAACGTGGTTTATTAGAAATTATTAACCTTTCCATTTTTATTTATCTAAATCACCTAATTTACCCACCTAAATTATTTCTTAAAAATACATGACATCCGCATTCGCATCCGCATTCGCGGATGTTAGCTTTTAAACATCCGCATCCGCTTTCGCATCCGCGGACATTCGCAACATCCCTAATCTGGATGATATCAGGATTTTACGAAATTTCGGGCAAAATCGGGGAATTTCATTGTCAAAATCGGGGAATTCTCAAAAATGAGTTGGCTACCCTGGTATGTACGTACATACATATTTAATTAAACTTATAATTGTACTTCCCCACTTAAAACAAAAATTGTACTTCACTTCATTGAGTGATTTCAACTTCACTGTCTGTGTTTATACACGGAAACTTTTGCCGACGCGATTTTTATACCCGAGCGCACTTGTGCACAAGGGTATTATAATTTTGTTCACATAACGGTTGTTTGTAAAAGCCAAAACGAATCGTGATAGATATAGATATATATATAAATAAATGATCAGAATGAAAAGAGAAATCGATTAAGCGGTGACTGTCCGTCCGTCCGTCTGTCTGTCCGTGAACACGATAACTCGAGAAAAAATTGAGATATGTCAACAAAATTTGGTAAGTAGGTTTCCCTTTATCCAAGGTAGGTTGGGATTGAAAATGGTAAGAATCAGACAATGACCACGCCCACCACCCATATAACGGTATTTTCGAAATATGCAAAAAGTACGATATTTTCGCAAATACTGGATCCAAATTGTTGAAAGTTGGTATGCGATGTAGAAATTTGGCATAAAATAAGACATTTATGAAATTTTTGGAAGATGGGCGTGGCCCCGCCCACTTATGATAAAAAGCTGTATCTCGGTAGTCCCTTCACCACTCCCCACCAAACTAGCTGAGAACATTTCTTAAGGCTTGACTAAGGAACCTGTTGAAAATTTTTGAAATCGGACAAGAACCACGCCCACCTCCCAAATAACGGTAATTTACAGAAATACAAAAACTGTGATAAATAAGTAAGTAACTATTTAAGCTAATTTACTCAAAATCGTTATATGCAATAAACTCTTAGCAGCGTGGCACCGCCCACTTATGCATACATATGTGTATCTCGGTAACCGGTTTACCGATTTCTACCAAACTCGGCACATTTATCAACCTTGGCGTGAAAAGGCAATATGCTGAAAATTTTTGAAATCGGACTAAAATTACTGCCACTTACCATATGACGGTACATTTCAGAAATACGAAAACTCAGATTTTTTAATAAGCTAAGACGCCAACCTACAACAATCACTTAAAAAGACACAAGATGATTGATTACTTACTACGTAAGTGTTTATTGATAACCGCCTTACCGATTTGGTCCAATTATTTCAATAAATTATAGTATATTATCGAAATGTTTCGAAATGCTTATCATGCAGTTTACTGAAAGGTGAAAAAACGATATTTAATATGTGCGCCGGGTATATAATGTTCGGTTTCGCCCGAACTTATACTTCTTTACTTGTTCATATTCCGTTTTGGTGTTGCGCGTTTCATTTAAACACCGCGACTTTTTCGTATGCAATTGTTGTTGTCAGCAGTGTTGCCGCTACGTCATGAAAAAATGTATCAATATTACATAGTTACATCCCAAGCTAATAAAAACGAGGTAAAAATGGATCAAATGTATCACACATTTTTTATTTAAGTATCAAAGTATCAAGTTAGCAAAAAGTTAAAAAAATGCTATTTGGTTTCATACTTTTGCATTTTATTATTTTCAATAACCGAAAAATCATGTAATTCACATTCATACACATACATATGTACTTATGTACATGAAGAAAAATATTTTACATATTGTGACAATCTATTAAAAAAGAGATAATTGTTTTTAATCTTGTATAGAGACGAACAAAAATATTATGTACAGATTTTATATAAACATGAATTCAAATATATGTACAAACTTAAAACTAATAGCTGTCGATCATTTAAGTTAAATGCCAAATTATGTGATACATTTCACGTTAAGCTCGTTGGAAATTACCTCAAAAAGCTGGGACTACCTTCATTTTGGACGGACGGACAGACAGACATGGCCTAATCGACCTCTCTTTTCATTTCATTTGATTTATGTACACATTTGTCTATATCTATCTCGATTCGTTTTGGCTGTTAAAAACAACCGTTATGTAAACAAAGTTATAATACCCTTGTGCACAAGTGCGCTCGGGCATAATGAATGGAGTCAGCTATTTACACATAGGTAATTTAAAGCATTTTTCTTTAAGCGTATTTGACCCCAAAACGTTTTAATATTTTCGATACAATTTTTAAAACTTCCACTGCATACATATTTTCTCTTTGCCATGTATCAAAATTTTTACCACGCGAAATATTTAAGTATCTTGCGAAATGAGCGAAAAAATAAAGTATCTTCCAGAAATTTGCACAAGCACGGATCAGTTTTGAAGTATATGGTTCAAAACGGCAGCACTGGTTGTCAGCTGTGAACCCGCTAACTCAATTTACACAAGTTGCGTTCGCGTAGCTGTTAATTGTTTATGTTTAACCAGAACTTTCAGGTTTTTGCGTTCGCGTACGCAAAAAACTTGCAAAGGGGGGAAATTGAGAGACCAAAGTGACATTTCATTTTGAGGGGAAGCTGCTGGTTTCTGGTGGAAAAATTTTTGCCAACAGCAATTTGCCAACAGGAAAACAGCTGATCAAAAACAGCTGGTCTGAATTTACGCAAATCACAAGATTGAATTTGATGGTTTGGAAGTTAAAAATTACAAAATGCGACTAATTAAACTTGTAAGAAGTAAGTAGTTATTTGTTTAATCAATAAACTGTGTCAGGATACCACTTTGTGGTGAGTTGTCGTACGTTTTAAATTTTACACTTTTGAATGTAAACAAAAATTATATCAGCTGTTCGTGTAACTTGCAAGTTTCTGCAAATTTTCTGTTCGCGTACTGTTTTGGATATTTATCTCTTGTGAGAGAACTGGTGACATATCGCCGGAATTTTGCTGTTGGTTGGTTTTTACTGGAGATTTTAAAAGAACGCACCTACAGACGAACGAGAGCTCAAAGTGTGTTCCGAGCACGAGAACTTGGTGCCCCTCTCCTTTCCTCATCACGCTCTCTCCTACAAGCGTCGAGTTGCCGCAACAAAAATCACCGTGTGTAAATGAGCACAAATTAAAGCCAAACATAATTTTTATGCGATGGAATTTTCCACCGAAAGTAACGGTAGAAACGGTACTCATTCTATTTTTCAGCTGACTACGGTGAAGCATTCTACTTTGTATTCCCCATAATGAATCAAAGCAACGAAAAAATTCGAAGCCATTATAAGGCAAAGCGTTCTAGAACACGTTACCACTAAAAGCGATTACCGATTTTTTGCTGGGCTCACCCCCCTAAATTTTGGTATAAAAATATTATTTTTAAAAAGGATGGGTGCATTCCAAAACGTCAAAATACAATGCATCAGTCTCTTTTGTTTCTAAAGCGCACTAAAAGAAACAGTCTAACTTGCGCAACCTAGTAGAAAACTAGCATCTAACCAAGGTTGCGCACATTTAACATTACAATCTACTGAGGGTTAGAATAAAAGAGACTGATGCTTTTTATTTTGACGTTTGGGAATTCACCCGAACATTTTTAAACAATAACTGTTTTACAGCAAAAATGTTCTATGGATGCCACTATCCAATTTCTATATATATAGAATTGCTCGGTGATTCCGAAAATCGAGTTAGTTTTTGTTTCTATGGATACGTTCTCGAGATATTTGCAATTTACCGTTATTCAGCTTAAAAAAAAAGAGTGGTTCCACTTAGATCCAGTTTTTCAAGAGTCAGATAAGCCACGAATAAGTACTAACTGGACTAATAAGAGGAAATGGTGTTTTACAATAGGCAGTTAAAGTTTATTCAGAGAATAATTAACCTAACTGAGAAATAAATTTATCCGGCGATTCGTTCACCAGATAAAGACCGGATAGCATTGGTTTTGACGTTTCCGCAGTTTGAAAATAAGCTCTGTGTATGCTTACTGTAATGTCTGAGTGAATCTCTTGCACTCAAACTTACTAAATACTCTCGTTCGCTCACTGCAGCTTATATGTATGTATGCACATACTATAAATATTACGGTTAGCCTAAGTATACATAACTTGAGTCTTAGCAATAATAGGCAGTCGCGTAGCGAACATCAACAAACGAACATTGTAACTAATTATATATATTTAATAAAGTTGTTGCTGAATACTAAATTGGCGCAGTCGGTAGGATACCGTAACATTCATTAGTATATAGCAACCGTTCGCCAAAACAAAATCGCTTAACATTATTGTTGTTCCTGCGCAACCTAAAACGTGAATATTGCGAGAAGTCAAAGCTAAAGGGCAAGCCAAGGTCACCTTCAGCAATCATTCGTTTTAGCGCAATTAACACCGCAGCACCTGCAGTTTGAGGAAAACGTTTCTCGCCACATAATGTCGACACTTGGGAATCTGGAACCGTTCAACGTGGAACACCCAGAAAATTGGTCTACGTATTATGCGAGGTTCGAGCTCTACTTACTGGCCAATGACGTACAGGGCAACGATCGGCAAAGGGCCGTATTTCTCACCTTAGCCGGAGCGCCATTATATGATCTCCTGTCGTCATTGGCCTCGCCCCGTCAGGTGAGTCAACTAAGCATAAATGAAATCAAAATGATTTTAACAAATCATTTTTCTCCCCGGCCCTCGGAAATCGCGGCTTATTACAAATTCCACAAACGAGACCAAAAATCTAATGAGGGATTTTCCGAGTACGTCGCAGCCTTGCGCAAATTGGCTGTTGATTGCAACTTTGGCACGGCGTTGGATCGCATGCTAAGAGATCGCTTGGTATGTGGCTTGCGTGATGAGGCATTGCAGCGCAATCTACTAGCAGAGCCGGACTTGAAGTTGCAAAAGGTTCTCGATCGAGCTGCTACTGCCGAAGCAGCATTTAAGCACGCATCTGAAATGCGACACTCCGAACAGGTTCATCATGTAGCGTCCAACAACAACCATCGCCATAATCGTTTGAAAACGCGTGCTAGTTCCAACGCACAAACAAAGCCATGCAATGGATGTGGTGGCTCACATGCCCGCTGTCAGTGTCCGCATCGAGAAACAATTTGCTCGTCGTGTGGCACAAAAGGTCACCTTCAACGTGTTTGTCGCTCATCAGCATCTAACTCAGCCAATCAGCAAAAGACATCGCATTCTTCAGGACGGTTAAAAAAGCAGAAACCACAATCCATAAATCAAATTTTGCCTCTGGTTGATTTGAAAAAATCAGCGACCATCAGTATTAATGGATATAATTGCACATTTGAAATCGATTCGGGGTCAAACTATACCATAATGTCATCAACAACATTTGAACGTGTGTGGCCGGTACAGAAGCCAATCATGCACACCAGTGACCTTGAACTTGTCGATTTTCAACGTAATAGAATTCCTATAATGGGTGTGGTTGATACAGATGTATCATACGGCGGCCGTGAGGTCAGCTGCTTACCCGTCGTTGTCGTAGACGGAAACCGTTCAAACGTATTAGGGTGCAATTGGTTCACCCCACTGGGCATTACAATTCAGGGCGTCAATGCAGTTGAAGAAGCATCGTCAATCAAAGGTATCCTTAAGCAATTTAATCATCTTTTCGCAGAGGAGCTGGGGTGTTTCAAAGGGAAGCCAGTTTCCCTCTACATCGACAAGTTAGTTCAACCTATTCGATATCCACCTCGGCGTATTCCATTAGCCACCAAAGGCCTTGTCGAAGCTGAACTAGACCGCCTATGTTCACAAGGGATCCTAGAGCCAGTTGAGTACTCGGACTGGGCCACACCGATTGTGCCGGTTCCTAAGAGCGACGGGACAATCCGCATTTGCGGCGACTATAAGTCGACGCTTAACAAAGCACTAAAGCCGCACAACTTCCAGATACCTGCTATCAACACTTTACTTTCGTCTATAGAGGGAGGCAGCATTTTTGCCAAAATAGATCTTGCACAAGCCTATCAGCAATTGCAAGTGGACGAACAATCATCCGTGTTGCAGACTATCGTCACTCACAAAGGCGCCTTCAGAGTTACCAGGCTTCAATTTGGAATCTCTTCAGCGCCAGGGATATTTCAAAATTTTATAGAAACACTTTTAAGAAATATTCCGGGGGTGCTGCCGTATTTTGACGACATCGTTCTAATGGGCAAAACAGAGGCTGAGCTCGCTGCTCGGCTGCATGAGGTATTTAGCCGATTCAACACCGCTGGTCTTCGACTAAGAAAGGATAAGTGTTCCTTCGGAGTCTCAAGCATCGAGTTCCTGGGATTCAAGCTGGATTCACTGGGCATTCGGCCATCTCAGAGTAAAGTCAAGGCCATTCAAAACGCTCCAGCACCCCAAGACAAAAAACAATTGCAAGCGTTCTTGGGCCTCCTCAATTTCTACCACTCCTTTTTACCGAACAAAGCTACAATTGCCGAGCCCTTACATCGCCTACTGGATAAGAACTCCCATTGGTTCTGGAAAAAGGAACAACAACAGGCGTTCGAAAATCTTAAGCAGCTCATAGTATCCGAACGCGTTCTAGTACACTATAGCTCAAAATTGCCATTGGTGGTAGTTTGTGATGCATCGCCATATGGCATCGGCGCTGTTCTCAGCCACCGCATGCCTGAGGGGTGTGAGAGGCCCATTGCATTTTACTCTAGGACCTTATCGAAGCCAGAGCGGAATTACGCCCAAATAGACCGCGAAGCTGTAGCGTTAATCGCTGGAGTGAAAAAATTTCACGACTACCTTTATGGGCGCAAATTTACTCTGGTTACCGATCATCGGCCCCTATTGGGTATCTTCAATACGACCAAGCCCGTTCCTAATGTGATATCATCGCAAATGCTTCGACGGCGAATTTTCCTTAATGCGTACGATTTTGAAATTGCATACCGTTCGGGAAATAAGTTGGGGAACGCTGACTTTTTGAGTCGATTACCCTTAATGGATGAGCAACGAATGATTAAGGAAGATGTACTGATGATAGAAATGGTCAACAAGCCCGTAGTAGACGCCAAACATATCGCTGTTCAAACTGCCAAAAATGCGGACCTGGCAAAAGTTCTCAGCTGGGCGTTAAGGGGGTGGCCACCTAACATGAGCCGATCGGACAGGCTGTATCCCTTTTATGTTCGCCGACAAGAAATCTCATCAGTAAAAGGTTGCTTACTATGGGGGAACAGAACAATCATCCCGACAGAAAGTCGACAGGTAGTCCTCAGTGCGTTACATACTGGCCATCCGGGCATTGTGCGAATGAAGGCCTTAGCGAGAAGCTATGTCTGGTGGCCGAAAATGGAGTCGGAGATTGAGGATATTGTAAAGATGTGTGCACCTTGCCAAGCTACTCGTCACGAGAAAGCTCATGCGCCAGTTCATTGGTGGGAAACAACGAAAAATCCATGGTCACGCCTCCATGTAGATTTTGCTGGGCCGTTTCAAGGTAAGATTTTCTTCATCGTTGTAGATTCGTTCTCGAAGTGGCTTGAAGTTTTCTTGGTCAAGTCAACCTCATCCCAATCGGCCATCAAACCCCTTCGATCACTCTTCGCAACTCATGGGCTGCCGGATGAGATAGTGTCAGACAACGGGACAGCATTTACATCCGATGAATTTAAAACATTCATGCAGGACAACTTAATTCGTCACATTCGCTGTGCCCCATTTCACCCGTCGTCCAACGGTCAAGCAGAACGAATGGTGCAGACAACGAAGGACTTCTTGAAGAAAACACCAGAGTGGCAGGACATCGACTTAAGGCTGTCACGGTTTCTTTTCAATCAGCATATTACGCCGCATACATCTACTGGGCGTTCACCTGCAGAGCTTATGTTTAAGAGACAACTAAAGACATTTTTCGATAAAATTCATCCGCACGAATTGCCTACTGCAAAGCACGAAATTGGCAGGGAGAAGTCCTTCAACGATGGAGACCCAGTGTGGGTGCGAAACTACTCCACAGGACCTAAATGGGTACCAGCGAAAATTAATTCAAGGAATGGACCCATATCATATGCAGTTCAGCTGGACGACGATTCGCGTATCATAAAACGGCATCTGGATCAGATAAGAATTCGACAAGTAGCTGAACGGGGTAATGACTTAGCTCTCTTTAACCAAAACTCTAAAGAGCCAGAAACCTCATCGGAATCGGGGTCTGCAGCGATGGATGAGAGCAGTCCATCTTCTCCACTTCAACAACAGTCCAATTCAGAGGGTTCTTCGCAGCATCGGTCGTACCCCTCCACCGCAGCAGATAGTTCGACACCGCTGGACGCAGGCATCTCATCAGACGATTGCACTCCACGACGATCCAATCGTGCTCGCCGTCCACCAGATTTTTACAGCGTTCCTGGGCGTTAAGGGGTGTAATGTCTGAGTGAATCTCTTGCACTCAAACTTACTAAATACTCTCGTTCGCTCACTGCAGCTTATATGTATGTATGCACATACTATAAATATTACGGTTAGCCTAAGTTTCTGTTTGTTCGTAACAATTGTTACAATTTATCATATTTTGGCGTTTTCATACGCAAAACTTGGCAGAAATTTATAAAGTAGGAGAAGTTGAGAGAAAAAAATTTTGAGAGGAAGTTGCAAGATTTTACTGGATAAATTCTTCCTTATAACAATTTGCCAGTAAGAAAAACAGCTTTTTACATGCTGCTTCTTGCATTTCACTCAAGCGAAAGAATACACTTTTGGAATCATATATGTAATACTTCTATATCGCTAGTACATTCAAAGTACATTCCCCAACATCAGAGTGCCGAATAATTGAAAAAAGAAAGAGATCCGATAAGCGAATGTACTCAAAATGACAATTTTACTTTTCAAAATTCAGGAGCGGGTTCACAAATTTTTATTTAAAAACAATTCTTATGAAAAATTAACAAAAAAATAAAATTTTTGTAAATCTATGAGAAGCGCTGCGGCCGTTGGTGGTGGCAGAGGATAAAAATACAAGTTAGAGAAGGACTTGGCATCAGTTGGCATTTCCAATTGGCATAGAAGGGAATCGAGTAACGTGCTTTATTAGATTCGGCCAACGTATAAAATACCACACCGCTTTATGTGTAAATAAGTTTTGTCTTTGTTAAGAAAAGATCTTCTATCTTCCAATTTTTCAGATTTCCAAATAACGAGGAGCATCGGAGAAATTCGTCATACCGAGCTCTAACCGCTAAAATAATTATATATATATATATTTAAATTACTTTTTGATGCAGGTGCTCTAAGAGGCATTTATGCATCAAAATTAAAATTTGAAAAAAGTTCTCTTACTTCATTTTCGCGGCTAGGGCTCGATATACATTTCAGCATGAAGGCAACATGAGACCGCCAAATTTGTGTTTGTTTGTTGAATTCCCTGAACCGGCCCTGTTATGATATGGCAAATCATTCTATGAGTAGTTTACAAATATACACGTATACTTTTACAATCACAAAAATTTTCATAGGCTTTTTTAAAAGGAAGTAAATTAGTACAAATGGTTAGTAGTTTTCATTAGAGTTTGAATAACTCCTTTCACTAAATTGCTTTTAGTAACTTTAACGAGACCATAACTTATTTTATTTTATTCATTTTAGTGCAGTTTTGACAAAATTTTCTTGCTAAAAAATCTTTTGTTACACTACTTCATTTTATTCCTTTGATTGTACAGGTTAAATAAAAGCTTGTTTTTANTAGATATTAAAATAATTCAACTTGCAATGAAAGAGAATAGAAGACTTGGCAAGCAAAATGTTTGCATACGTTTTGTATAAACATACATATGTACATATAGCAGCAGTTAATTTTATTTAAAGAAATGGCGTGTTGTCCATTTCCGCTGTAGCATGGCATATATTCAGGCGCAAGATTTAACTTCTTCTGGCGGGGCGACATCTGGAGTCTAGAATTTGCTACAAATAGCTTTGCTACACTACCGCCGCGGCGCGCCGGCAGCTTTAACAATTTTATAGTGGTTTTACGTTCTTTGGCAAATTACGCTCTGTTTGCCATAAATCTTACTATTTTTTGACCGCCTTTGAATCAAGACCCCTGTACTATATGGGGAATTCATTTATATTTTAAATTGCATTGTCATCGTGATTGGAGCTATGCTGAAAATTTCAAGTCTCTAACTTATCGGGAAGTCAGTTTAAAATCGATTGGAATTTTCCGCGATTTGCGCGGGATGACCAAGTTAAATAAAAGCTTATAAAAAGCCCCTGCTTACGACAGTATTTGATACCTGCGCCGGGTATATAAAGTTCGGTTTCGCCCAAACTTATACCTCTTTGCTTGCTTTTAATTATTTTCTTTTATAAATGGTACATAAATTCACGACTTAAAATAGTTATTTTTGTTAATAGCAATGAAATAAAACTGTATTAGGTTATAATTCATTTTAAAACAATAAAATATATTTAAACTAAACAATTAAATCTTTTAACAATAAAAAATAAAGGAAAAAAGGTTGATGCTAAGTCCACATTAAAAGAATAAAATCTTAAATAGAAAATGTGGTAAGTCCTAAAAGAGCCTATAAGTCTGCAACAGCTTTATTTGGAAATTGGCCGATTATTGGTACTAAAACAAGACGAACTAAGGAATAAAACTGCATTTACAGATTAGAAAAATATTGAAAACAAAAAAAGTTAGACGGTTTTTTGTCCCTCCTGAAAAATAAAAAAAAATGGACTTAGCACGTTTGCGAACTAAGCCAACGATATATGTTTGGAATTGTAAAAATAAAATTGCCTAAATAAAACTTTTTATTAAAAAATAATAAAACTAGTAACCACTTGAAAGCTTTTTATTTTCGTACTTTTGGGCAGTGTTACCAACGTAGAAATTTCCCCCCAAATTTAGGGGGAAGGATTTTTTGGGCAAAAACTTTTTTTAGGGAGCACATTTTTCTGCTTACTATTGTTTAGTGGAATTTGATTTAATTTTTAGGGATACAATTTTTCTGCTTACTATTGTTTAGTTGAATTTAATTTACTCTGATTTTTTGTTACGGAAAATAAAATCCCAAATTTTACATGAACAGACATGTAGCAAGTAATTTGCAACAATTATCACAAATTAATACTTTTTGGTGTTAATGTATCCACAAATATCTCAAAGTAGAAAAAATTGAGAGGGATAAGTCACAGTTGCCTTAAATGGGAAGGTGCAAATCTTTACTGGACAAATTTTAACTTCCAACAAGAAAAATAGCTGATCGTATATCGCTGGTGAAATTCACACTAATATAGGAGGATGTTATGAGGTTTTCATCGTCGAAATTGACTAAATAAACCTATTTAAATTATAATAGAATATGAAATACTGTTGTTGTTAGAAAACTTTTTAAATAAACAAATTAATCAGCTGTTCATGAAACTTCGCGCTCACATACTTCTTTGGGTAGTTCTCTCTTTGAAAGCGAATTCTCGGAAGAGAACCCCTATATTGTAACAATGTGATTTCTGAATGTGTGAAAGATATCCATTGTATTGCCAATAACCTAGCTTCCAGGAGTCGCTCTCAATGAGAGTACTATCCCACAAACCTGCAAGCAGTTACTAGTTTTATGAAATTTTAATAAAAATTTTTATTTTGATAATTTTGACTTTACAATTCCAGAAGTTAATTCCTTTGCTTCTGTAAAATGCAAGAAATAGCATGTAAAGAGCAGTTTTTCTTAACCGAAAATTGTTACAAGTACTACTTTACAAGTTCTTACAAGTTCCTACTTTGCTAATTCCATGCAAGTTTTTGCGTACAAAAATGCCAAACGTACGTAAACCACAGGGCTTATATTTATTTTATGACAATCAATCAATTAAGCAACGTACTAGTTGTCTCTTCTATCATAAGGTATTGTCGCTAACTTGCTTTCGCTCTAATTTTTTGACAAGTAGTCATGTTGCCTTTTTTCTGTATATACATGACTTTTCGATAGGGCTGATAGTTTCTGAGAAATTAATTCACAAAAAATAAAAAAACAGTCGTAGTTTTATATTGACTTTTTGAAATTTTTTATCAGAAAAGCCAAAAATCTGGAGTTATTAATTAATTTTTCAGAAACTACAAGGCTTATGTATGTGATGTATATTGTCATATTGTTAAGTACATACATGTATTCATACATATGTAAGCACATATATATAACATACATATGTACTTACATACATATTTCAATAAACATATTAACATACTCAATTAACATACACTACTTATTAACATTAAGATAACATATTTATGTTAAGACTTCAGGAGAGTTAACACCCTCTGCATTGTTTTACTGTTATATACATATATTAAGTAAGCTAACGTTAATATTTATTACATATATATTATGTAAGAAATAAAGAGTTTTAGTTGTAAAGAAACATCGAAGAAGGTGGTTTAATTTCGCAACGTGACTGGCGACGAAGAAAACAATAACAGAAGGAAAAGTTTACTTGGCAAGAGTCAAATAAGCAATCATCTGCGAACAAAAAATTTTAATAATTATAATTATAAATTATAATAACTAAAAACTTTTAAAGTGATGTAAAACATAAAAAAAAAGAGTTAAGGCTTTTACTTGAATAACACGTATATGAACATTTATTGAGTGATCTAAAACTGAATGCATTAAAGTGAGAAAAACGAGAAAAAAGTCGAAACTTAAAACTTTTAATTACATAAACAAAATTACATAAAAACAAATTTCAAGATAAAAAGAAAAAAAGAAGAAGTTTAATTTGGGCCTTTTACTTAAATAATTAAGTGATATACAACTGAAAATATTGTAGTGAAAATAACGGTCGAACATTTTTTTCCAAATACCTATGTACAGTTAAATAAACGTTAGAACAAAAGAGAAGAATCTGTGAAAAAGCCGGGGCTTCAGAGAAAAAATAGAACAAAAACCAAAGAAAAACTTTATACTGAGTATACTGCTCTATATAAAATATAGTCAGAGAATTTTAAAATACAAAATTACTGTAATCGTTTCTCACAGCAAAAATTAAGTGTTCTTCATAAGCACCTAACTAAATACAAAAGAAATTGCTTAAGCAGGAGCAACAACAACAGTAGCAACAGCAGCGGCGGTACATAATCAATAAAGAGCAATCCTTACATCGAGAGAAAAAATAATCTACAATAGTAACAAAGTTAAGAGAAACAAGTAAGAAAGTCTAAGTTCGGGCGGAGCCGAACATTAAATACCCGGCGCAAGTATTAAATATATATTTTCCACCTTTCCGAAAGCTACCGCTACATGGTAAACCGGGGTGTATCCATTTTGTGTAAATTAGCGTCCTTAAATTTCGAAATATTGAAGTTTCAAGCATTTCTGAAATTTACCGTTATATGAAAAGCGGCCGTAATTTTAGTCCGA